AGATATAACCTGCTGTAACTTATATTACAGGGGAAGCTCTCCGAAAAGAGAGAACCAGAAAGAAGAAGAATAGCTTGGCTCCAGAACTTACGAAAATGGTTTTCCTTGATCACTTCAGGACTATTTCGAGCTGCGGTCAATAAAGTTAGAATTGCCATGCTAGTAGCCAACATCCGTAACGGATAGGCACCACAAGAAGAAGATTTAGTAATGAAATTGTATCTGCCCTGAAAAATAGGTTTGGAGCAAATTTTAATGAGATGCGGTTTGAAGAAAACGAAGCTCTAGCTTATTTTAGTGTAACTGTTCGGCGTTCTTTAGATCAGGTATTTTCCAGAAGTGTTCTCGTTCACTCGTTTTTATTCTAAAGATTATTTTTATTTGGCATACTTTACAAGTAAAATTTATAAAACTAAACCAGCAAGTGTTGCAAAGGTAAGGCAAAGAATTAACGAAGAATCCATATTAAATTCTTGATGAAATGTATAAGATGATGAAATGTATAAGATGCATTCTAGCATCGGTTAGGATACTGTAAGCTGGTTTTTGAGTTTTAAATCGCTGACCAATAGGGTTAACTTGGTATGTGTACCGAGACACACAGGCATGAAAGGGAACGAACGGGCTGATGCCCTGGCAATACAGGGCTCATCTACTCTGCCTGTGGGACTCAAACCTATGATTGGAGTACTAAAGAGCCCTCCAATCCTCAGGTCTAAGTGTCTGAAGGGCTTACAATTGGGCCCTGCTCCGATCTACCATAACTATAACCATACGTTCAATAATAACGTAGATGCTGTGTAGTGCAATTTTGGTAGTCGCCTAGTTTATTTTTGCTTAATCTTAATATATTTATTATATCCTGTGTCGCAAATTAAGATTCGATTAGTTGTTTATTTTGTACTCAGCCAGAGGCCTTCTTTAAGTCAATAAATCAAAATTTGTCTTATAGGAAATTTATTTTCATTCGTAGTGAGCTATGATATCTGGTATGTAACTCTACACTCATTAAGATCGAATATGCTGTTGAGTGCTCTTTTTGTAGTCGCCTTGTTTGTTGTTCTATCTTCATATAATCGTTACCCCCTCCCTTTTCATTTGTATATCGCATTTTAGAATTGTATCAGTTGTTTATTTTATATTCAGTCAGAGGCCTTCTTCAAGTCAATATATCAATCTTTTTGACTTTAGTAGGTTTTTAGTAGATCTATTTTCATCCGTAGTGCCCTATATCTCGTATGTAATTATACGTTTATTAATAATCAAGATACTATGCAGTGCCTTTTTGGTAGTCGCCTTGTTTTGTTTTTTATCTTAATACATATAATCGTTTTCTGTCGCGTATGTAATGATTTGTTTCCCATCAAAAAAGTGTTCAACATCGCTAAAGAAGTTTTTACTTAAAAATAGCCATCTTCTAATAAAAAACTCCATCTAGCCGAAATATGCCTCACAATTCGAGGTACCTACATTTACATATCACCCAACCACAAACACACAATTACCAACAACCTCCAGGTCATAGCCTGGGCCATTTCAGATCTGACATTCAAAAAACTTACATATCAACTGACATTCAAAACACTGACACGACATACAACAGACAAATTCCTAACTACACACAACAAAGACACTACACACATTAAAATACACATCAAAATTCATCATTCATAGTCACTCCATAAATCACAGAGTATTACAACCAACTACAAATTTTCTTAGACATCTTAAACTCAGGCAGCTCTTTAAAATATGACATCAAAGAAATGACACAATACACAAACACTTTTACGTCACAAAACCCTCAAAAGATCTCAACTTAGAACTCATACAAATACAGTAGTCGAGTTATTAATAGTTGAGTATTAATCTCCTGTTAGAGGAGATTAATAACCAGTCGGTATGCTTACACTCAACCCGGTTGTTTCGAGTGTCCATTAATATAGATGGACGCCCGATTCAAACAACTGAGGAACTCCGGGAAGCAGCGTCGAGTATACGGACCTATTACGATTACTATACCTTATTCCATTAAGCGGTGCAGGGCATATAAACAACGATAAATTTAACAGATAATTGTTAAAGATGTTCCAAATGAGTCTACTCGTTCCGATAAGTAACAGTATAATTATGACACTTTATTATTTTTTTTCTTTTCTCAAATATTCGTGTTTATTGCATAGTAAATAAATTAATGTTATCACTGAATACAAAGTAAGTGAAAAAATACTCCGATTTATAAAATTAATGAATATTTTATGCATAAATGCAAGTAACAGTTCTTCAAAAATATTTAAAAACTAACCGGAATGTCCATCTTTATTTCGACTGGCGATGTTATCGGCGGTTCATACCGGTTCGGACACGATTTATTGTTTATATTTTCCTGCACCGCTTATTGAATTTTACTATAGAACGAAAAGTCCCTTGTATCACTCGATGCAACACACTTACACGATAAACCACATCTCTAACCAAATTCTGCAGTCAAACCCCACTAATCCTAATCGTTCCGGATATGTTAGAAGACGAAAACAATTTCTTTGCAGTATACGTGTACAAGTTGAATAAGATAGCCTACCTTTACACAACGAATTCCATTAATGCCAAACCTCTGCAGAAAAAATTCAAAATTTTACCCGGAACCAAATATCTAACTATCACAAACAGATCCAACCAATTATTATTATTATTAAAGTACTCATTCCCTCCCCGCCATCCAGTCCCAGAAAACATCACATAAACAAGTCTAAACGCACGCATTCCTTAATAATTTCGCAATCAACGCAGATTCAACCGGTTATTTATTTAAAACTCAAAATCTACCCATCTATCAAAATTCAAGTCACTTACAGTCAACTCTCCTTACAAATCCGCCACACTTACAACCAAATCCAAAATCAACACATCACCCCGTATACCTTATATCCCATATTAGAGTACATTAACATTACAAATAAACACAATACACAACATGAACCTGCGACAGAAACAATACCTATTGAGCCTTTACCCCCAACCTTACAATCAAAAAACATAAAACGAAACACATACAACTCAATCTACACAACAATCAACTCAAACAATCGATCAGAACCATCCCCTACAACCATCACACACAAGCAACAAAAAAACATACGACAACTCAAAAAGACAACACAACCCAAGCAAATACCTTATAGAACACATCCCACCAAACATTTGTCAACAAAACACCAAAACAACTAAATATCTACGAATTCCAGACAAAACTAAGAAATAATATCGTGATCATCACTATTAGCCCCATATATTTCAATAACACTCAACAAAAGTCACAGCCAAAATCCAATTAAACCTCCATCTCGTCTTGACAGGCGTTAACAAAAATTTTTCACAAAAAACATTGAAGACCATCAATCATAAGGCCACTTCCCTAACATTAAATTAACAAGTCTTCGAGAACTCAGAACAAAAATTCTCAGAAGCACTGAAATACTGAAGATTATACGTTGTGAGATCCCTGGATCGAATAACGTCATCCCCCTGCGCTTTAAATAGTGTTCTAGACGCTGCCAAAGCGAAAGTCACAACACAGAATACCAACAAAGAGCCACTATCCCTCCGAACTGCGGACAAAATCATAAATCATATTAATGGCAGATGCACCATTCGGTTCAAACTATTGCGGCACATACTCGGCATATTCACACAAATGTCCAGCCAGAAAAAGTGCTCCCACAACATAGAAACACACACATACAGTCACTATCCTAGACAAATTTCCTCATATGAACTCACTTCGGACATAAAATCGATAATGAACCTCATTACTATGATCTTTTTCTACGTCTTACCTGAAAAAACTCCTACCAATATCTCTAACGAGATCTTCCGAAATATATACGGACACGCAATCGTAGTGTCAACCTTCAACTTTTCTATAAATCAAAGATTTATACAAACCAGATTTTAATCCTCTTACATCCCACCTAAGCTCTATCTCCTAGAATGTACCCACTAGCCTTTGAAAAAACTACATAACTCCTTCATAGTCGATTTAGTTTACACAAGGACATGGAAAGATTGGTTTTCTGTGGTTTTCCAAACTCATTGCACAACGATATATGTAACAAGGTGAGGAACTAGCCACAGCGAACCTCCAAGCGATATACTAAATAAAGTACAATCAATTCTGAAAGGAATCGTTCAATTTTTGGATGCATCTGGTATTTTTATCAGCGGGCCACCTCAACTAGTTCATGACAAAGTTGTCCACCAAACATCGACCCGATCGACGTTAAGCTCCATCAAACTCCCACCTCGACTCTTACGCCGGTCTTAAGTCATTGACAGAAAATCGTCCCAAACATACAGAAAAACTCCAAGAAGAGGACTGAAGCCTAAAACAAGGCTTCACCATTCCTATCTTTCTTCTTCTTCTTCTTATTTAGCTTTTTTTATTTCCAGGGGTCGCTGTTCCTTACTCTTCGTCGCCACTCATTTCTGTCTACCGGTTCTTCTTTACCTAAATATTTCTCTCTCAAGTGTTCTACCACATAGTCCTTTCATATTCTCCTCGGATTTCCTCTACCTCTCCTTCCTTTCTAGTCTTACTCAACATCCTTCGTAATATTTTTATTTCAGCCACCTCTATCTTATTTTTCTGAATCTTTTAAACCTACACCAACGTAGGTCTCACCACACTCTTGTATATATTTCCTTTCAGCTCTTCCCAGATTTTTATATCACAAAGTACCTCACTCATTCGCTTCCAGTTAAACCAACCAGCCTGTAGTTCTCCCTCTTCAATAGCTCTTCTCCAACACACCCAACTTCCCCTCCAACATTTCTTTTCTCTTCTCTACTAACACGATATCGTCAGCAAAGTACATTGATCAACGAGCTCTCTCCCCTACCTTTTCTGTCAGTATATCCATAACAAGATTAAACTGGTAAGAGTTAGTAAAGAGTCTTGATGCAAACCAACGTTCGCATTAAGGCTCTTTACTATTACATACATTTATATTTTCCCATTTACACTACATACATTTCCTTCACGAGCCTTACGTAGTTCTCTCCCATATATCTCCATGGCTCTTGTCTAACTGTATCGTACGCCTTTCCAAGATCTATAAATATAGGTAACATATTAGTCTTCAGTCTTCATAAAGAACGTGATAAAGAACGTTAATGACAGCTAAATCCCATGCCACTGCGAAGTTAATCACACTATTTCGTTTATCATTTCTTATTCCCAACCTCAAACCTTCATGAACCATTTTTATACCCGCTCCTTCTCTACCTATATGTCCATTCTAATCACCTCCATTACCCATATACTTCACACAGAAAAATCCAATAGCAAACCAGAACAACCGGTACAAATCATGAATATAAATAGCGCACCTTCCAGGAGCCCCTCAGTTAGTGGCCATTCGCTGGCAGGTAAGGAATTCCAGTGGAGATTTTTCCAGAATTTTTTTTCAGGTGAGTTTTTAAAAACTTTTAATATTATTATAGTTTATAGGTCAGTTTGTGTATTAAACTAAATATTGAAAAGAAAGTTAGTTGGATTATTGTGATGTAATATAAATAATATAGTATAAATACACTGTTTTATTTTCTTCTTCTTCTCAGATTGTTCTGTGTTTTGTACGAAAATACTAGGTATTTAAAACTTGGTACGTGCGTTTCTATTGGTATTATAAGCATATTGGAACCCTAGCAAATTTGGCGTCAATTTGTTCTCAGTCTTTTTGTTAATTTTGGTTTAACATGGTTTTTTTCTTCTTCTTAATTTTCTAAGGCCTATTAATTCTATTGAATGCAAACTTCTGGAGTTCTAAAACTTGGCACGTAAGTTTTCCATGGTGTAAGAATGATCTTTTAATTTTGGGATCGGCTTGTCTTCTTTTCCTTTTCCTTCATTATCTCACGTATTTTTAAATCTTTCTTAAAACTTGTCATATAGGTTTTATTTTGTGTACGAAAGAACCCTATTGATTTTGGTATCGTCATGTCTTCTTCTTCTTCGTTCTCAGTCGTATTTTTACACATTATTTTTTTCAAACAATATCCTCTAATCTTAAACTTTTATAGATAGGTTCCATTTATTATAGGATAAGGGTACTTATTGATTGTGGAGTCAACACTTGTACAGCAACGGAAAAAATTATTTCATAGTTTAGTTAAAAAGGACCAATGAACATGAATAATTAAGACCTAGCTGAAAAACAACTGAAAAACAACTGCAAAAAACCTGCATAATCTTAGTAAATACGTATTTGCGGTTGCCTAGCATATTTTTAATAAAGTTTATAAATCCTTTTTAAACAAGTTTTGCCATTTAGTCTTTTTTATGTTTTAAAAATATATACTTAATCATTCACCCTTTGTATTAACTTGTCTCAGCTATTATTAGTTGGCTACACCGTACTGATGACGACCAATGAGTCAAAAATACGTATTTACAATATATTTCTATTATTGTCCATCTTTCTATTGCATATGTTTCTTTTTACGGATTATTTTTTGTTAATATATTCCCTATACTAAGGTTTAACTCATCTTCCTTTGCCAAATTAAAATATAGATGTCTCCCTAAATACATGTTCGCGTACGGCTATGGTAAATATTACTTATTCTGCAATAGAAATCAGTCAACAGTGCTCGGTACATCTCCATTTTCCGGTTTTCGGTTTAACCGGTTTTTTCGCTTACGGTTTAACATGGCGGTTATAACCGGCCAAAAAAACAGTTTTTCCAAAAACCGGTTTTCGGTTTTTTTAATCCAATAGGTTACAAAGTTACATTTTCAATGCACTTTGCAATACTTCATTCGACTCGATATCAATATGATCAAAATTTGAATTATGGTTTTGTTTGGAATAATTACTTGAGAATAATAATTATAATTGGGATCCAAAATAATACCTAACCTAATCCTAATCACCGTAAAAACCTAATAACCGGTTTTTACTTTAAAAATCAAAAACCGGTTACAACCGGGGCAAAAAAACAACCGCTAAAACCGGTTATTGCGAAGTAAAAAGACCGTTTTTCAGTTAAAACCGGTAGGTTTTTCCCATCCCTAATCTCTATAGCTACATTCAACTCATAACAAAAACGATAAAGAAGTCATTTTAAATATATCGAATGTAACGCTTGTAATATCAGAATGTCTTTCCTTGTTAGTTATTTCTCAGATCTACTGTTACCTTATATCTTTGATATATATTTTCTAGTGTCATTCGTTGTGTTTTAATTACGTTGTCACGTTGAATATAATAATATAGGGAACTTTTTTGGTTTGTACTTGTAGGTTTTGTATTATATTTTACTTTACCAAAGTAAAGTATACAACTTTACCAAAGAAGTTAAATCCGAGATTAATGATTCGTGGCGTGAATGCTGCCTCTCTGGAAAAAACAAGTTTTTTACAAGACCTGATTACCTTAAATGATCTTAACGTAAATGAAGATGATATAAAAATGGTAACAAAAGTTAAGTTTAAGGAGCGTTTCAACGTCGTGTTGGAGGTTACACCAGCTTTATACAAAGTGGTAATTGAAAGAGGTTTTTTGTATGTAGGCTGGCTCAAATGTTATGTTAGTGAACACTTTAATATTGTAAAATGTTTTAAATGTTGTAACGCTGGACACCAGAAGAAAGATTGTCTTAGTAATTTAATATGTCCGAAATGTTCTGAATCTCATGAAATGAAAGATTGTACCAGTCAGACTATGTGTTGTAATAATTGTAAAACGTTAAACTTAAGATACAAACTTAATTTAGATACAGTTCATGTTGCAAACAGTTCAGTTTGTGGTTACTTACTAGGTAAAGTTGAGCAACTTAAAACTAAAATTCAATATGTCTAACAAAAACCTTAAATTAGCTCATTTTAATATACGTTCCTTGTTTGCAAAATTTAACGTATTCTCAGATCTAGTAAGTGATCACAGCTTTGATATTGTTTGCCTGTCCGAAACTTGGTTGACTTCGGATATCTCAGATCAGAGTGTATATATTCCGGGTTTTAAAATAATTCGTAAAGACCGTGGTTCAAGAGGTGGTGGAATCGCTGTTTTTGTACGTGATTCAATTATTTCAAAGTCAGAACTTGCTGACCTTCCTTGTCCATTAGGTATCGAACAAATGTGGATTTCTGTGAAAATACAGAAAACAATATTGTTAGTCGGTGTTATATATAGAACTGAGGCGTGCAGGATGCTAAATTTTATACAGTATTGTGATGATACTCTTTCTCACATAGTACCCCAATTTAATAATATTATTTTAACTGGTGATATCAATGTTGATCAGCTAGTAGATAATCAAATAAATTATTGTTTTCAGTCTTATAATTTTGTTCAATTAGTAGAGGAACCTACGCGCATAACTAACAGTTCACAAACATTGCTCGATGTTATTTATACAAATAAAAGTGAACTCATTAGACATTCCGGCGTTTTAGATCATGAACTATCTGACCATAGAGCAGTGTACTGTGAATTTGAGTTAGATATTAATTACAAAAAAAACTTTTTAAAGATATATAGAAATTACAAAAACTTTTCAATATCCTCTTTTAACGCAGATCTGCAAAAAATGTCATGGGATAATATACTGTACGAAAATTTTATAGATAATAAAATTCGAATTTTCAATTATATGTTAGTTTCGCTGTTTGACAAACATGCTCCTTATGTTGAATCAAGAATTACAAAGCCACCTGCTTCGTGGCTAACGCCCACAATACAGAATATGATGAAAACTCGTAATGCTGCTTTAGCCAAATATAAGAAAACTAAAAACGTCTTAGACTATAGTTACTATAAAAATCTTCGAAACGCAGTTACTAACGCAGTCCGTCTGGAGAAGAGTGGTTATTTAAATTATCGGTCTGCTTCTTTGAATAAAAAAGATCTTTGGAAAGCTATGAGGTTATTCAAAATTGTAAATAAACCGGTTATAGAGATCCCCCAGGAGCTTAAAGATCCTATCTCTATAAATAACTATTTTACATCTGTTTTTAGCCCTGTAAATTGTTGTCCTGAGACAACCCAATGGTACCAGTCAAGTATTTTCAACCCAGATATTACTTTCTCGTTTAAAATGGCCACTATTGATGAAATTAAATCATTAATATTAGGGTTAAAATCGGAAGCTGTTGGATGTGATAACATTTCTGCAAAGATGCTACAACTCTCCCTTTCTATTACTGCTCCTTATATTACGCACATTATAAATTGTTGTTTAGAGGTAGGTTATTTTCCGGACATTTGGAAATATGCATTGGTAAAACCACTGCCCAAATCAAATAAACCTGAATCACTAAAAGATCTTCGCCCAATAAGCATTCTACCGGGACTGTCAAAAATTTTAGAAAAAAAATGTGCTAAATTGAAATATTTTGGATTTGATGATACCTCCTTACAGTTTTTCAAATTTTATTTGGTAAATCGTTATCAAAAGGTCATAATCGATAATAATTCATCAGAATTTGCATCTGTCACTTCAGGGGTGATTCAAGGATCGGTTCTTGGTCCTCTTCTTTTTTCAATATATATTTCCGACCTGTATAACTCTTTAAATAATTTGAAATTGCACTCTTTTGCAGACGACACACAACTGTATTTCTCTTTTGAACCTAACTCTGTAAATCAAGCGTCACAAAAAATAAATCAGGATTTGGAATCTATTTGTACTTATTCCACTAGACATAATCTTAAACTAAATGCTAAAAAATGCAATTATTTGTTATATTGTTCAAAAAATTATAAAGCCACTGTTCAGGATAACTTAAAACTAATTATAAAAAATGAACCTCTAAAAAATGTTAATAGTTGCAGGAACTTAGGAGTCATATATGACTGTACGCTACGATTTCAAGAGCATGTCACCCTTTTAGTAAAAAAGTGCTATTTAGTTATGCGTCAACTGTATAGAAGTAAAGGCATTTTAAACTTTAAATTGCGTAAGTTACTTTGTGAAACTATGGTAATGTCAATTCTTATTTATGGGCTCTTGGT